GGCAGGGCAGGGCAGGGCAGGGTGCAGGTGTTTCCAGAGAGAGCCAAAAGGACTGAACAGAGGGCCCAAAACGGCAGAGGGCAAAGCGGAGCAAACGTGTGCTCTGCTCACGCTCGCTGCCAGAGAATTTTAACGAATCGATGTCCGGCATTGTCCGACATGACGGTCACGACTGACGACACGCTGCGTTGAACTCACTTGCCTCGCGCTTTGCCAGGCGCCGCTCCTTCTTGCGCCTCTTGCGCCTGCTCACAGCACTCTAAAGAAACACTGCAAGAGTACGGTGCAGTACCTAATCGCATGAGATCACCAACTCGTCCTTCAACGATCATTATAAAAAAAAACGGTTTTTGCTCCCACACTCCTAAGTCCAATATTGGAGCCGGATTCTGTGGCTCTGCTGGCATGGCTACCAAGAACAAAACTGAGCCCCATACTCGCCAGGCTCGCAAAGGTGGCAGAAGTCGCACTGCTCTTTGTTCTGACAGCCCTCCTGCAGGCAAGTCTGATTGAGAATACTTGTTTGAAGCTGATGGGCAACACATGGTCCTGGAAAACGAAGGCGCATGGCTTACATGCCCTCCATGCGTGAAGAGCTGATCCCCTTTCCGAGCACGCAGTCAGTTGGCATCACTTGCAGCCACTGCGGGCACCTGCCTGCTTGGAAGCTCGGGTGATCCAAGCACTGCGGACTTTGCACTGCCCTGCCAGGTTTTGGACAGTAAGTGGAAGATTAACGAAAGTCCCCAGGCGTCGAGGGGAGAAGAAAAGGGCACAACGTTGAGATAACGAGAAGCAAGCCCAGGCTGAGGTGCTATGCATGTCTTCGAACTCGTTGGCCGGTGCAGACAAGTTCCGCTCCTTGAAAACAGATCTTCTTTGCGAGTGGTTCTCCTGGCTGCATTTCCCATTGGCACCAATTGCAGTTCGGCAAGGCACGTTGGAAATTCTTGTTAGTTGGTTGGCCTTCACTCCATCCGTATTCCTGATGATTCAGTACGTACTGGCAGTTGCCCACGTATTTATGCTCGCAGAACACGAGTGCACCTGCTCGAGATAAAGCAGATTGTTGAATTGAAGAATCGTAGGATTGGTCCAGCATGGCTTAGTTGTTAATCATCTCACTCGGGTGTATTCCGAGTGGCGGTGCTGCGTGTTCCTCTGGCTGTTCTGGCAGCTGCTTCTGCTCGATACGCACATCGTGTGCGTACGTATTGTTTCGTCGAGCCCTGGTTCCGAAGGTTCTGGCCGGGGCGTGGAACAGCAGTACTACGAGACGCTGGCTGAGACTGACTGACGCCTGTTCTCCGAAATGCTAGAGATGCTAAGAAAAGCATCGTGCTATGCAGCCCAGACGAGATGGGTGTATTGGCGACACATGCAAGCACCAGTTTTGACAGTGCCTTCAGCACTCGCCCCTGAGCTTCCATGTAAGTTCGCAACCTGCCTCAGCGGAACCGGAGGCTCCAGATTCCTTCAGCCCCAGCTGAGCTGGAATTGATCGCGCACATGACGTCTGAGGTCAATGCTGTCGAGTTTTCACTGCCTGAACGCTGTCGAAGACCTGCAATGTGCATCTCTCATCTAAACAGCGAGGCATAGCGAGGCTTTATCTTTGCCTGGGATCTTCGGCTTCATCTCAGCATGTGATGGCGGGCGTGTGGCAGCGCTGTCACCTCAAGTCCCACCGCTCAATCACATTATCTGCATGGCTCCCCGAAGCCTGCTCTCAGCACGCCACGGCCTGCCGAGCGACCAGGCAAGACCTGGAAGTGGAATCGGAATCGGGTCGAAGCATATGATGCGCATTGTGAGTCGTTTTGCACGGCCCTGTGCACCTCGGACAAGCGCAGACATGGCATCTGCACCTGGCAGTGCTGATATCTACTGGTACTGCTTTCGAGAGAGCGATGCGCATGCCATCACAGCCTGTGGCTGACCTTGAGGGTGCCAAGATGCTCCCTGCAGCAACAATCAGCAACATGCACATAGGCCAACACCTCTGATCCAGTGCTCGCCTGCCAGAAGTCGGCCGGACTTGAGACGCTGTCCACCTGAGATTGGAGGCACCCTCTCAGCATCCATGAAGAGACTAACAGCCGCACCTCTGTGCCGCTTGTGGCAATGTAGCAGCTTTCTGAACCCAACCTCATCCCAGGAAACTTGGTACAGAGACGAACAGAGAAGCAGACCTCTTTCGAAGCCGAGAGACGCCACCCCTTCGTTCGGCTGAACCTTGAACACAAGAAAGCTCGCAAGGCTAAAAAAGGATCGCACACGTGAATAAAGCGACAGATACAGTCTAGGCTACCGGGCGCGATAGATCAGAGGTGCTCTGCAAATGCCAACAGGTGCGCCTCACAGGCCAGATGTGAGCGTCTCCTCCTTCCTGAACCATCGAACATCATCGAACCATCCTGGCAGAGGGTTCTCGAGCAGTCGGAGCGCTGCGGCAGGCGCTGAGGTGACCTCGCGTGTGTGGAAATTTCGCAGCTTGAGACCTGTCAGCATTCCTTCCGCCTTGAAGGAATTTCTTGGCCAGCGCGGTTGCCGTGGCACGCAGCTCTTCCTGGGCTGTAACGAGACTGCAGAAGAGACTGCTCCCTGCGACTGCCACACGAAGACGGTATCAGAGGTACAAGCAACTGTTTCTCAGAGGCCACTCGAATGACTCGAAGGGGCATCTTGGGGAAACGATGGAGATGCTCAAGCAGCAAGCTCCACCGGGCTCCTTCACACAACGATGCTTGCAACTTCTTGCCCAGCACCGGCAGTCCCGAGAGGCCCGAGAGGTTTGGCAGGCTGGATCGGGTTAAAATCTTTCAACAACTTCTTCAAATCAAAAATCCACTCGTCGTCCAAACCCACCATCCATGTCACATGCGAGTAGCCCGTGTACTCCTTTGAGAACACCACATTCTTGTTGTCCCTGAGATCATGTAGTAAGTGCTGGACATCTGCAGGATCCGCCAGGGTATCTTCTGAGCCCCTGAAGAGCGCCGTGGGCATCTTCAAAGCAGAGACATTATACGACGGCGGTTTTGCCGTGCCGTAGTGCTTAATGTTCCCCGCTCGGCCATAGTCGAAGCGTCCGAACCTGTCGGAAATCAAGAACTGCTCAAAGTGATCAAAATCTTTGACACTTGTCCCGGCTGGAAAGTGGGCTGCCAAGTTGGTAATTGCCTTTCCATTGTCGTGCGGCGAGCTGCCACAGACGACATCCACCGTGATCGTGCAAATCTTTTCAAACGTAATTTTGCACAACCACGATCCGATGGTCGGCAGCTCGGACCAGCTAAACACATCGTAAGGAAACATAGCATCCAATAGCACCCCTAGACGGAAATCTTTCGCCACTCTCAGCAAAAGCGACGATTGATGCTTCAGATAGGTCACAGGAGACAGGGCTATGAACAGATTCACGTGCTGGTCCAAAAAGTCTTGGTGTTTGTCCTGAGCAGCTATGAACATTTGCGTGCTGCCTTGAGACCAACCCACGAAGGAGAGTGTTGCCTTTGCAGAAACGTTTAGCGCATACCTGATGTTAGCTATGACATCGAACGTCGCCATGTCATCGAAAGTGAAATTCCAAAACTGCTTATTCAAGAACGGCTTCAGCTCGGTGTGATTACGGCTGAAAGTGTTCCCACGGCTGTTTGGCAACCACACGTCGTATCCCATTTGCCACAGAGAGATTGCGAGTGACTTGTCTTCTGTGTTCACGAGCCAACACCATGACGAGGCGAGGATGCCGTGTTGCAGCATCACCACTGGACTTGAAGTCTTCTGTGGAAGCCGGAAGGCTCTCAAAATGTAGCCGTCCTCTGTGTGGACAAAATGCTCCTCCACGGGGATACCATATCGACTCAAGTAGTCCTGCGTTGTATCGCTGTTTTTGATGACCGGCTGGGCAAGAGACTTGCCTGTAGCCCAACAGAGAACTAAGGCTCTCAACCAGATCATCCGGAGGCCGAGGTATATGGGGAAACAGTTGTCAATTGACCTCTCAGTATCCTTACAGGCTTGAGCACGTCGTTTCCTGCAGCATTCCTTGACCAAAAGTGAGAAAGACCACCAGACTGCTACTGCTAAGTAGAGATGCATCCCACGCATGTTTTTGAACGGAGTTCTGCAGAGACTTTTCCCTTCGAGACTTGGGGCCTGGCTGATCACCTGAGGCTCCACGCCACTCGGTCCACTCTCGGACAACCAAAGCGCCGCTACAAAAGACGAGTGCGAGTGCCGCACCGCGGAGCCGTGCACCCGGCCTTCTGGTTGCGGAGGCTGTGCTCCAGGCACCAAAGGGGCCTCGGGCGCTGCGCGCATCTGCGCGCTGCGCAGGCGGCGTCATCATATGCGGACAATGAAGTACCTGATGAGGTTGGCCCGCTAGGAGTGCATGATGCTAGACTGACATCCCGCTGCACCCAAGTCCCACGCCTCGAGCATCCTTCAACCAAGCTTGCAGGTCGCGGACAAATAAGCCCCACACAGCACGAAGGGCATTGTACGAGTTCTCCATCAGTGTTGGACGAAACAGTGCCACCTGCGACAGAGTTAACTGAGCTGAAAGCCCAGATCTTGCACGGACATCGCCCGCCTTGTGCTGCTCCTTCCGCTCAAGCCTAGGACGCGCTCAACGCTCCATAGTGCACATGCATGAAGCTGTTTTCAATGCTTCAATCGGAGGTGACTGCTGTCCGTCCGGGCATCTCACATTGCAGCTCCTCCAGTCCAGTGAAAAGTAAGCATTCCGGATTCGCTTCGAAAGCTATGCCCTGCAACTCGTCCTTTTGCATCATCCCCGGCACGGCACGCCTAGGCACGACTCCACGAGCGCTTCTATGTTGCGCCGGCGCGAACTCGCGAATGGGCGCGGGGAGTATAACGGTAACCCCTTTGGGGAGTATCGAAAGCCGATCTCGCACACTGCAACGGAAACGTGCGGCCGCGGTAAAAGCGATCAAACGACCAGCGCAGCACGAACGACCACCGGAACAGGAATTGCCATCGCAAACCAACAGGGCGTGGGCAGGAGGCTTTTATGCTCGCACAGACACACATATGTGCGTGCGCTGATATATGGATACTCAGGGGTACACACAACCAATCTTGCGCGTGTTTCTCTTATGCAGGCACAAGCTGGCAGACAGGCAGGCAGGCTTACAGTCGTAACAGTGTTTGCATCTGTTGCAGTTTCATAGGTTCAAAGTGATGCGCATGACTTGAACTGATTGCAGATAATTTCATGTGTGTGTATGAGTTTGTCAACCAGGTGAAGTCCCTAAACCCCTAAACCCTAAACCCCATAAACCCTAAACCTCTAAACCCTAAGCCACAACCCCAATCCCAACCCTAAACCCTGAAACCTGCATCACCCTAAGCCCTTATACTTCGAAGCCAAAGGCCCAGGTTCCTGTTACAAGCGGCTGCCCCCACGATGTTACGGCGTGACAAGTGTCCGTTGCGGTGAGCGTGACTTCCCGCAGCCGAAGAGCTCGCTCTCGGGGCCGGGCCGTGGCTGCCGCCATGGAGCTGAGACCGCCGAGGGCCCCTGCGAGGCGGAGGCGGAGGCGGAGGCGAGACCGTCGGACTGCCCTGTACCCGCCTGTGCCCTGCCTCAGCGTCCCCGCACACAGCTTCACTGTGCACTAAAAGCCGGCATAGCTGCGGAAAGGACGGCGACCATTCAGCATCGTTCCCTGCAGAGCCACATGATCGGGAACCCTTCCGGAACCTGTGCCATAGCGGCGAGAGCAGACTCGAGCTGGCCCTGGATGTTGCCGCGTGGTCTCTGCAGCGGGCTGCGTTTTCAGCTGAGTTGGCGACGTCTTCTGTTCCCATGCCCGTCCAATGTGTGCGCCTCGTTGGCAAATGCCAGAATCAAACTAGTAACTTACTAGTAACTATATAGTGTAAACTTTAGCAAGCTAGTCCGCTTCTTCTTGGACTGAGAGCTGAACCCCGAAGCTCCAGCGGCCTCGCAGACTTGCCGCTTCAAACTACTTTTTGATTCCTTTGAGCTTTGCCCTCTAGCGATAGAAACCATTGCAGCATGCGGAGCTTGGGCAGGTGCCTCTATGCCTGGAGAAGAAAAGCCTGAAGCAACAGGGCACAGTTTTGCCGTACCTCGTCTGCAGTCCCACACACACCTTCCAGTCTTCCAGCTTCTGCATAAAGTGCCTGCAGACTTTTTGAGTCATCGGTGACTTGACGAGCAGGAGACAGCATGCGATATCCTGCCTCGAAACTGGCATGCTGAAGGGCTTGGTGGTACCTCTGGACGATAGGCCGGTAAGTAGACGGGTGGCATGGCATGACATGGCATGGCCATGCCAATCCCAGATGCCATTAAAAGCCCTTTAATTCATCATCGGAAGACCCTGGAAAGCCTGCTACTTCATTGAAGCTTATTGGCAAGTTCCCAGGCTTCAAACGGTGCCTGATGGCGCCAACACTCGCGTACTACTGCCTGTGCAAACACGGCGCATAGCAGCTTCGTATCTTGCTCGAGCAGCGGCTTCGTACCTTCGGAAGAACGAGATGTCAGACTCGCCTGGAATAACACTCTGAACGGTGCACGTTGCCCGGTCACCCCTGGCAGCAGCTATGTTCATCGCCTTTACAGATTCCACTGACATGCACGGCAACGCCATGGAAAGTTTTGGATGCTGGATCATGCCGGCCTCCTGCCAGCGACTTACATGCATTGCTGCGACCGCCGCCTGGCCCTGCTGAAACGCGGCATCCACCGCTGAAAGCTTTGAAAGTTGACTCTGAAGCAGCTTGCCAACCTGCAGGGCACTGAGCCCGCCCAGATGCCCAGCAAGCAGCTCTGGTCGCTGAAATGCCTGGGAGCGAGCTTGACGATTACGTGTTGCCTTCCAACCTTTGCGACCCGATGCGACCCGATCCTCTTCCGGAGCCGGTGCCTCGGGGCGCTCCGGCACCTCCAGAAGCGACTCAGCCAATTTTTGAGCTCGGAATCGCTCGAACAGCCCTTGCCCCAGGTGCCCCAATGGCCTGTGCTGGGACGCGCACAGGTGGTCCAGCCTTGGTTATGGTAGAATCAAGGGTCTTGCCTTTTGCATGCCTGCCGCTGCTTGTAGCTCTGGGGGAATGGCGCTTCCAAGACCCAGCAGCTCTGCTACCTGAAGGCTTCCACACAGTGAGACAAGGCCTCTGGCGAAGTGCGGTTTCTTCGGTACCAGACGGATAGCGAAGTCCCACCCGGCGAAGCAGGCTGGCTCTGAGGTTGAGAGTACCTGCGCCAAGATTAGGCCTGGTCTCGTGGTCGCATTGGTCGCAGACTTTTCTGGCGTCTGCTCGCATAGTGCAGCCATTTTGCTACAAGAAATTGGAAGAAGGTGTTCAGAACACTTGGTTCTTCCTGACTGCCAATACGGCCCCAGAGAGAAGCTTCAGAGCTCATGCTCACCAGCCGTTCAAGTCCCAGATCGCTCGCGGATGGCCCTCGTAGAATCTCGTAGATGTGTCTCCCTCAGTGCCGACCATGCCAGCATTGCAGGGTAGGCCACGAGGTGTCCAACCACCGCACTTGGCTCGTAGCATGCCGCGAACAACTGCATGGGCGAGCACCGGTGCATCGGAACAGACTCACGTCCGTATCAGGGTCCAAGCAATGTCACTTAGCTGCACGTATGCTTCACAGACGACGAGACGCACATGTGAAGAGGACAGTTCAAGATGAATGGAGCGGCTGCTAGGTCTCGGGCTCTACAGCAAGAAGAAGCTGCAAGGTGGATGTGTGCTGAAGCCCATTCGAGGCAGCCGTGATGACCGCGGAATACGTGATAATGTTCGGCCTCGATCGTTCAGAAAGCGAGAGCATTATGGAGGACCTACAAAACTTTCACCTATAATCTCGAAGCTTCCTCTGGCTTGACACTAAGACTAAGCATGCGACAAAATGGAAAGTCTGGCAGACATCCTGGGCTTGCTGTGTCTGTTGGACGCTGATGACGGCACATGCACTTCACTCACATGAAGAACATTCGCAACCAAACAGCCGAAATGGTGAGGACCAACGGTTGAAAAATTTGTTGCCCCCCCCCCCTCGACGTATCACTGCTTGAAATTATATGGATGGTATTTAGCAGCCATCATGAACTGATGAACAGTGTTTGACACCATGCGATCAAGAGATACTGACATTCCTTCAAATAGTTTCCACCGAGAAGCTCCTCGAAGAGTGCCACCACGTGCGGCCAACTTCTGCTCTCGCGGCTGTTGCAAGCGTTGATGCAGGAGGTGCATGTAGCGACGTCTGGAAGAACTGCACGAGCCACCCTTGGTGATGACTGGGGCGTCGGACGATGCTGACACGCGTATGGAGTCACAGACAGGTACTGCAGAACTGTGAGAAGCCAAGACCCTGAACTCCACAGCACGATGCAAACAACCTACAAACGTTCAGCTGCAAATGGTTGATAAAAATTTGTTTATGCATCATCCTGTGCTATCATCGTACCGCTATCAACTGCTATGTACTGCTGACTGGGATGCAGAAATATCTAGAACCTAGGGTAGATCAGCACAAAAAGAAAACGGCCTCAAAATCTGACTTGCACATGGGACTGAGGTTGGGATCGCGATTGTGGTTTGCGGTTGAGGGACATGGTTTCAAGAATGGCCAACGCCATCTTCCACTCTGAGCTCGTCTCACAGGCTGCAACTGCGGCATTCCACACAAATCTGTCCGGTGTCACAGCCTGAGAGTCGGGAGTCCATTCCGCTGCAACGGAACAACACTCTGTATTTAAACTGCTCCCGGAGTCTCGGCCTCATCCAATGCCAGCATCTCCTCAAATAAAACCAGCGCCACCTTCCATTGGTGGCCTTTGTGTCCACAGGCACTGATGGCAGCAGAGCAGCTGATGTCATTCAACCTCACCTCTCGTCAGGCACGGGTCCGCATTACGAGACTTGCCCTTTCAATGCCAGGAGGATTTGCAGTACCCCAGAGTTCTGGCCGTCACAGTGAAAAACCGCTTGTGGGAGTTCTGGCGGGATATTGCGACATGCCGTATCGCCCCGCCTGAACTTGCCTCATCAAAACGAGCAGATGCAGCACCATCTCCCAAGCACTGCCTGCACTTGGGTCGATTATTGCGACTTTGCGAGATTGCGCGATTCAAGACCAAGCCTCTTTCGCAAGCGCTGATCGCAGAACCGAAGCTGACCGAATCTTGTGCCACGCGGGTCCTCAAGTTTCATCTCCTCGCACTACTGCATTGGACGGAGGACGGAGGCCTGGGCATGTCGAAAAGCATGCGCACTGCAAGCTCCCAATCAGCTCCACGGCAAGCATCGATTGCAGCATTCCAACCTCAGCCGGACATGGGGTCCACGTTGACGTACAAATGACTGTAGGTCTGCAAATATCCGCTGCTGATGATTTTGGTTTTCCTGCCGGTCGCTGTACACCAATCACTGAAGCGAGAAGCTCACTTGGTCGGGTGGCAATCCTCGTGTCTCTCAAGCAAGGATCACAGCTTGTGGAATGCGGCAGTTTCCGTCGATAAAGTACCCCTCTCGATCGCGTGTTTCAGTTGCTTGCCGAGGATCGCCTTCCCGCCATGCTGTAGATAAGCAAAAGTGCGGCCGGCCAATTGCCCTTCGCACAGGTCGTCGCCGCGGCGCTGTAGCTGATCTGATTCGGAACGATCTTCAATTCGGACATCTGCGCCTTACGTCCCCGAAGCAAGCTAGCAGGAACCCGACACAAGATCGTGCTCTTTGCAAGTTGCATGACGACAGATCGACTTGGTGGAGATCCAAAAGAGCCAATGACAGTCGCCAGTTTCCACTCTTCTCACACGCGCTGATCACAGAGCTGCAGTGGAAGACATTGACCTCCAAAGACTCCTGAAGGCTGACAGAGTAGCTGACAGAGCTGCGTCTCAAGAAGCGGTCCTGTCTCAAGGCAGCCTGGGCACTTCGATCATGTGCCAAAGAACCTGGCCCGCCACGTTCCAGTACCCCTTCCTTGCCAATGCGCTTAGCAACACCGTCGCCGGTCTTGGGGTACGTCTCCAACCATCCTTGAAACACGCGGCTGCCCCGCAAGTCAATGCTACCACATCCAAGCCAGGAGACTGTCCAAGATGCGAGCACCTGTAAGACCTCACAGAGGGATCTTCGGAGCTTCGGCCGTCCCAAAGCCCCCTCACGCGAGCCTCGCCTCCTTGCTCGGATCTGGCCCCAATCGCAAGAATGCTCCAAGATCGGCTTTCGACATCCTCGACAAGACAGGCGTGGCAGCGTGGCTGCGTGGAGGCACTGCGTGCAGCCCTGTGCTGGGATACATCCTGCACGGTGGTCCAGCATGCCCATGGCGTGTGCTGACAGCCACCCATGGCCCGAACGAAACAGGAACTCCGAAGAGAGGGACGACATAACGATGTCATCATCGTGGTCAGGTAGACTGTAGCTTAGACACCCTGGGTATGTAACGGCATGAATCACAAAACCAATGTGGTTCGTTCGGTTATCAGCTGCCCAAGCTCATGCTTGATCAAGCAATGCACGGGCTGTCGCAGGCTTCCAGAAACATGACCGCATCGCAGCCCCCAGGCAATTCCCGATGATTGGGGTCACGAGACGTGCGGCGAGGAACCTTTGCCCACCTGCACACACACACACACAACAATAACCTCAAGATGGCGTGAAGCAAGTCGCGAAACGCCGCTGGAACACAAAAGGCCTGCTGCGTACTTTCGGCAAGGCCGGTTTCGGTGAACACTCCCTGACAGCGCAAGCAGTGACAGCACTTCGGCTCGTGACAGATTCTGAGGCAGGAACGAGACCAGGACCACGGGACGTCGGAATTGCCGCAGACGGAGGCTCCGGCAGATCCGCCAAGACTGCCCAAGCGAAAGGGATTGAGAGCAGAGCTGAAAGAAGATCAGACAGTCAAAGCCTTTACATCTTTTTCTCATCGCACCGGCTCTGACATCCAAACGACGTCAGAACGAATGCATCCTCTTTGGGATACGTGTCAGAAGACGTGTCTCATAGATGGCAAGCTTGGCAAGCTGCCACCCCGACATTCGAGAAGCGTCATCCGTTTAAGACTTGACACTGCTCTGTGTCTCGTAAACCATCCACGGGAGATATGTATCCTAAGTTTCGCTTCAAGCAAGCTAAGTCTTCCAGCGAGGGTTGAAAGCTTTCTACTGAGTGCTCGGCGGTCCAGCAGTAGGACCGAAACCAGCGACAGCACCGAGAGAGAAAGAAGAATTGCTCCTGGACATGGCACAATGAGCAGTACCCTGTCGGCTTCCAGTCGGCTTTGTTCTCACTGGGCTCAAAGCTTGGTCCTCGAACTGCTGGAAATTCTTTCAGTGGTATGGCGATGAAGAACCCTGCTGCGAAGCCCAGGCTCTGCCAAAGCTTGTAATTGGCCATGGCCTTCGAAGATAAAGGCCGGGCCGCACTGTCGAATTCGACTGCATGATAAGCCCGACTGCAGGCTAAAGCCGCTGCCGCCGAAATATGATATTATCAGAATCAAAAGCAGTCCAACGGAAATGCGTTCACACTTCAAAGTGCCAGTGTCAGACGACTGGACACCGTAGCCCCTGGAGGCATCAATATGACAAGTGCCTAGGGCCGACCTTCCGACACACCAGTAATCGCTAGTAACCGCCAGTACCACTGAGTTGGAAACCGAACATTGCCTCTCAGAAATGCACACCACTCACTTAGGATCAACGCATTGCGTTTCGCGAACATCATCAGGCACGGCAGTGTGTGCGACAGAATTGGCAACTCAACCAGTGAAACTGGTGACCTCGTAACAGAACTCCGATTGAATTTGCAGATTCTGTCCACCAAACAGCCCATCTTGAGAGCTTTTCGGCATAGCTTGACTTCAGCAGAGCACGCCACGTGGCTAACATAAAACCGGCTAGTCAGCAAATCAAAACAATCAAAGCATCGAGCTCGTGTTCAATTGGTTCAGCAGCAGCTGCATTTTGATTGCAATCGCCTTTGCTGCCTACTTTCCATGGGCTTCAACGACTGTTGGTGAACCCCACGCAGACTGCAGGCAGACAAAGACAAAGAAGGAAGAAGCCCCAAGGCCCAAGGCCGTGTTTCCTCAAGAAAACTGAGACTGCGGCCGCCATGACTTGGTCTGAGCTGGCATAGAACGTCTGTAAGGTCATCGCTGGCCCGGCTTCGCAAAACGAGTCACCACACGCAAATGCAGAGGCCATCGCAAACACAGCCAGAATTGCTTTCCAATCCGGTGTGTCCGCTTTTTGCCAGGTTGTACTCCCCGGGATCAGGTGGAAGTTCTGTGGCACCGTCCAGAGTTGCTTCATGAGCAGAAAGCTGGCCACGAATAGCGTAGCGAGTATGAAGACGGTGCGGCGCGAGAGCCAGTTACGAGTTATAAGGAAACCCCAAGCTGCCGAGGAAAGAGCATTCACACCATAGAATGCAGCAATCACGAATCCGGTATAAGCAGGCCCGGCAACTGGGCATGTAACGTCAGTCTGAAAGTCGCCCAGGAAGAAGGCCAAACACATCCCGTTCGTTATCATGAACGGGATCATTAAACTAATCTTAGCATCCGTGAATGCAAGTCGACCCGTATCAGCAATTCTAGGCAGCTTCTCCTCATCACCCAAATCGTGCACCACAGTCGGCAGTGCCAGGAAAACTGAGGCACCCATCAGGCAACAGAGAGTCAAAGCAAAGAACAGGATATCCTTTGCCCAGGGGATGGTGCCAAATGCCACCAAGATGACAGAAGCCAGGATATTCCCGAACATGCCAGCAAATTGGTAAATAGAGAAGAACAAACTATTGTAGCCTCAGAGTGGGGTCACCGCCAACACACAGGCTGCGTTACTCGTCGACGTGTCGGGCCGGCTAAGGTCCAACTAGACAACAAACAGCAGATTGCACTGGCAGCCCAAGCGCGCGTGGTCACTATGCCAGCAGCTTCTTGCGAAAGTGCTGCTGCGTGAAGGGCACAGCGGCTAAGATAGGTGTTTTGGCTTGTCCAAAGCAGCGGAGCAGCAACTCCAACCAGCACGTTGAAGGAAACGGTGACCTGGGATGTTCTCCAGGCTTGACCTCTCGAGGCTCGTGAAAACCCCAGGCTTGGTTCCCGACACCCCTCCACTAAATGTAGCCTGTCAGTCTCTTCGCTCGCCTCCATTACAACATCTAGCACGATCCAAACTTGTCGATGCTCGGCTTGTGTTAACATGACCAACCCTGGAGCAGAGTGGAGCGAGCCCAGTTGGTCACTTTGCCAAACTATGAATCCAGTAGCTGCTCTTTTCAACTCGAAGCACCCTTTCGGTATATCACAGACGCTGGTCTTTTTCAATCGTCCCCAATGCACTTGCAGCGGATGTCCTATAGGCATGACGAATCATGTTCCAACATCTGCTACGATGCGTTTGCGGGCTAAATTTCTTGCTACGGAGTTTCTGCAACCGCCGGATACAAAAAATGCAATAGGCAATGGTGTAGCATCGGCTAGCTGCTGCTGTAAACTATGCAAAGACATGCCGAAGTCCACCCTGACACTGACTTGCACAGGAAAATGACAAGTGTGCAGCAGAGGCCTGAAACATGATTTTATCGTTTGGTAGCCGGATTGCGATACGTGCTGCACATACGGTGCGGTACCGTGGGGATCACTTACAAAGAAAAAGGTCTGCTGGAAGGGAATGTTGCGAAGCTAACCTGTAAACCCTGAAGGACATGCCCGGCAGGCAGCAAATCCTCGAGTCAAAATTTCAGATCAGTGGAAGCAGCCAATACTAAACTGCGAAAGAAGAGTGAAGGGTGTTGAACTTGCGAATAGGGTGATGAACGCCCACCTCCAAACAAATCGAAAACCAAAAAGAAGTCATGAAAGGGGAGCAGGAGTCCTGATGCACAACTTCTGAATGGCATGTCTCTTACTCCCCTTCCATTGTGGTCAGGGTAGGGTTCTGGTGGGTCCTGCCCGCAGAGATAGAATACCACGCAGTGCTCTCATTCTATCTTGCATGCACCCACATATCCAGGGCGGCTAGTCACTGCCCACATTGGTGAAGGTGTTGCAGGTACTCTGATGACATTGGAGAGCGCCTTGGCATATACGAGAACGCCGTGCATAGTGGATCTGCGCAGAACTCAGGCAGGCACCATGGCGGCATAGGCTGCAGAGCAAAGTGCCAGCAGCCACTGCATGCCAAGCCATCTCTCCAAATGCGAGAGAATCGGTGGCACCACCAGACATAAGACTGTGAAAGTTCCGTACCTAAGACCGCGCATATCGGCACACGCTGGCACAGGTCCAGCCCAATCGCAATACACGGAACAAACCATGTCATGCATCCAAGCAGCAGACAAGCTAAGTTCAACTCCCCTAGCTCAGCATTCAGGGAGGACTGCAAGCCTTGCGCCGCCTGAAACCCTCCAAATACTCCGAAGAATCCAAAGCTCAGCAGCCTTGGATGCAGACAGCCTAGCAAGGAATCGTCATGGTGTTCAGGGGAAAGGAAATGTCTATACTCGTGGCATCAATCTGAGAAGGCGCTTCACCGCGCGGCGGTAGAAGGTTTCATCGCGGGCAGTCATTGATTCCTACCCAGGCCCTCAGGCCTGGGACATTCTCGAGCCCTTCAGCTGCCCTGGGCACACCCTCAAAAGCCAATCTCGACATTGCATGCCACAGCCCGTCTGACCTGGCCTGATTCCAAGCTGTCCTCCTGGAGCTACAGTTGGGATATGTTGGGATGCTCATGGATGCTCTGATCTGATCTGTGTTCCTGCCGCTCCTGCACAGAATGCGGCCGATCTGACCTCGGCTGCAGAGGCACGGCCCGCTTCTAGGATTTCGAAAGCCTGAGAACACGACTCTGCAGGCACCTCGGCCGAGAAGCCTTCGCAGCCTCATTGATTACCCCACGCGTTGTTCAATTTGTCACAGACTTCGAGGAAGGGGCTCGGAGGAGTCAATGGAGCTGTGGTGGAAGGTCTCGTCACAGAGTTCTCTGCCAGAGCCTGGCTCGACTGTATGAGAACTCGCAAGCAGCGGTCGGCAGCGAGCCTGCAAGCCACTGAAACTGCTGCCATCCACATGGGACCTCCATTGCCCGCTGCAAATAATATCAAATTTCAGTGGTCGAGATATTAGTTGCATTTCGTTGTTCCGCAAAAGCACCTTGATGATCCGTTTGGACCTTAGCAGCACTGGATACTCCGCTCTTCCAACAGCCACGGCAAGGAGCGTGGTGCAACTACTTGGGCCTTCACGCTGTCCGTCACGATGTATGTCACTCGCAGCAGCCTGAAAGCCAGTTCTTCTCAATCCGAGTGCCAAATCAGCGGTCAAAGCTGGATAAGGAACGAGGGCGACTCGGTAAATGCTGTGCCAAAGCCTTCTGGAACGGCTGCTCCGGTGCAGCACTTGGTATCTTGGCATCCTCATCACTGACAGGTAGCGACAAGCATCGACCGCATAGGAAATCTTGCTTGGACCGAGGCCATGTGTGCAGCAACAAGTGGCGGCTGCAGGGGTGGCTGGGTGGGCCTAGACTGCCCGGGACGCAAGCTGATTTTAGTCTGTTTTCCGGCGTGGTTACATTTGACCAAGGAACTCACATGCACATTAACTCCAACTTAAATGCGACCAGGGCACGGCTGCGCTAGCAACGGCAACTCTGCCTCAACTGCTGCTGCCACTCCTGCGGTCTTAGCTGCTGTTGCCGCTGCTGCTGCTGCTTCTGCAGGCGCTGCTGTTGCCGTTGCTGCTGTTACTGCTGCTGCTACTGGCTGCGCTGGTGGTTGTGTCGGTGGATGCTGTTGTGGAGCGTGTGCAGGCGGCTGTGCCGGTGGCTGCGCCGGTGGGTGCGCTGGTGGCTGCGATGGTGGTGGTGCAACGTGAGAGACTGCCGGTGCTTGCTGTGGAGGTGGCTGGGAGGGCGGCTGCATGGGTATCTGAGAAGTTTCAGAAGCTGCATATGGAGATGCCTTGCTAGGTGGATGTGCAGGGGGCTGGGAAGGTGGCTGCAGTGGTGGTAGAGTTGCTGGAGTCATCACAGGTACAGGCGGTGGGGTTGCTGGCATGGTCGGAGCCATTGCTGTTGGGGGGGTCGGCCCCATGGCTGGTGGCATGGATGGTGGCATTGCCGGGGGCTGTACAGGAGGGTTGGCTGGCGGATGCAGGTTCGCTTGCGGCTCTGTTGTTTCCTGTGCAGGTGCCTTTGCTGGTGGCTGTGTTGGCGGTTGTGCAGGTTGTGCAGGTGGCTGTGCTGGTGCCTGCGCCCGTGGCTGTGCTGGGGGCTGTGCAGGTGGCTGTACCGGTGGCTGCGCCGGTGGCTGTGCCGGCGGCTGTGACGGAGGTTGCGATGGTGGCATGGACCTCACGAAAGCAGAGTCAATCGGCATTCTCGGAAAAGTCGGAACGGACAGTACGCGAGTCAGAGAAAGACAGAGTCCATGTCAAATGTCACAGTCTTGGCTGCCAGCGGTGGTGATGGCAATTCGGCGCTCGATCTGTATGCCTAGTGTCAGCAGGACCATCTGCCAACCCCTAGGCAGCAGCTCAACTTCTTCGACAACCCCTAGGCAGCAGCTCAACTTCTTCGATATTCTCCTCACGTCTGGCAGGGCCTCGCGTGAAATCCTTTTCGATTTCAAGCCCATCTTGAGCTCTTCCTCTGTTGGACCCAGCCCTCCAGCTCCCGCAATCCTACAATTACGACTGTCCCGAAACCAGATACCTGATCATTCGGTACCATCACCCGGAACGTGTGTGACGAGTAGGGTTCAGTGGCGCTAGCGGCGCTTCGATGCGACAACTTCGACAACTTCTAGGAACTGAACATTGTGGCATTGGGACTCAGGACTTGTGTCTTGGCAGATGCACAGTTGAAATCTCGCTTCACCTTCTGCACAACGAGTACTCCAATTGTAAGAAGCCTTGGTGGAGCAACCTTACGAGGCCTGATGTTCGGACACACAGCCTGTTCTTGCGAGCAAGTGACAACGACCCTCCAAGCACCAGAATGTCCATGATTATTGTGCTGGTTTGCGCAGTAGCCCCAAACATCTCACAAGACGACTCAAGCCCATTGGCTCACGGGTTCCGCCATTCCATCTTGTCAGGACTCGTGCTGGTAGACAACGATGACTGCACCGATTTTGTGTCGGAAGATGTCGATGAATGTAAAGTCAAGCCGAGAATGCAAGGGCAAAATTGCAACCAACAGACGTTGAGATTGGATCTGCGAGATATTTCCGAAAACTAGGCTCGAAGGGGGAATCTCCAAACTCAAAGCAGACGGCAAGACGAGGAAGCATGATCACGCCGATACAAGCTCAATGGCGCCCTAACTGCCTCTGGGATAGCGTCACAAGAGCCGGGCCCCGGCTCCCCGGCCTTGTCGGCCTCTGGTCCACCCGCGTCCTGAGCTTCTCCCGTAACCGATGTCGGACCGATGCACAGAGTGGCCTGTGCAGAGGAACTCGCTTCTTCATTCGCGGGCCTGCACAAGGACTTCGCTAGGAGAACGTCGACCGCAGACGGACTGTCCGGGCCTCGTCGATAACGACTCCTCGGTTACCGCGCGCGTTATGGCTGATTGGATGAAGCCTGCAATGCTTGCGGAGGCCTGCTCATCTTCGTGGACTGCGCCTCCCAAGGTCAAGACAGCTGTTTCCATGGTTCATCTCTTCTTCTGTGCTTTCATCTACAATCTGCAGCCTCGCGGAAGCTGAATGTGCTGCAATTCCACTTCAAACTGCGGTATACCCTGCCAACACCTCCTCCCGACAAGAGCACCCAAGGACTTCGCTAAACGACAGAAGAAGTAGATTGTGCCATGGTATGGTTTTGCATGATCTGTTCCACTAACCTGCATGCTGATGCTATATGCTATTAAGCTGCTCTATTTACTGCTTTGTATGTAACATATGGCACTCTGCGTACATGTTTTTCCACGTGACATTGATTTACGTTTCTGAGGCATCTGCAGACGAGTTTGGAAGGTGGGGACCCTGGCTGCATGGTAGTAGCATATGTGGGTAGGAACTTTGGGTGCGAGCCGTGCAGAGCAACAAAGGTGGCGATGTAGAGGAGGGGACATGACCACAAGTACACGCATATGCGATTCATATGCGCGATATATGTACATATAAGGGAATGCATATGGACCGGATTTGGGTGCTCGATACACATTTGTTCACACATAACTCGCATGTCGTCAAATGTAACCATTCATTGTTTGGCATAACAGTCCAAGAGCACTCACGAACTTGTCACTGCCGGGAGGTCAAGAACACCGGAAGCCAACACGCCCAAAAGTAGAGAAGCAAAAAACAAGCCAAACGGCTGAGGAGCCCTGAGAAGCCACTCCTGGACGGTACGACTTCAAAATCAACACCAAGCAGAAAATTGCACTGTAAAAGCTCCAAAGACCTAGGCATTCCTCAGGATGTAAACATCGTACTTCATTTTCATCCACTCAGGCACCTTCAGCTTCTGGAGCTGCTGGGTCCACCTGTGTTGCATGGCACTGGCCGGGAAGTGTCGGTGCATGCGCAGCCTCAGGCTCGTCGTCATAATTGCCGTAGTTGCCCGCATCCGCTCCTGTACAGCTCTAAAAGCTTCCAGCCCACAACACTGCTTCGCGCGTTGATGCCTCCCCAGTCGTGCTGGTACCAGCCGTTCCACCACTCCTTCGATGCTTTGCCCCTGCCCTGAGCAACGCAGAATGCATCCGTCCCCAAGACTCCAACAGTTCCCCAGCCTTGAAGTCCTTGCCATGCTTGCCACCTTCTTTTCCCCAATCCTTCCACCGACCCTTTCCCCCATCTTTTCGGCCCTGGCGAGTCCACATGCAAATGCCTTGGCGCAATGGGCCGCCCGGCCTTGTCTTCCCTCCAGTCTCTGTAGTAGTGTCCTGGCTTTCGACGCATCCCCCCAGCTAAGGCTTCCGTCGACTTGGGGCAGTCGTGGCAAAGCTTGGACATCGGAGTTCCGATCTGGGCATTCCCGGCCACATGCACTAGCTCTGCAGAATGAGAATTTTTATTTCATGTTGACATCGCAGTGGCTCTGACCCGCCTTTGTAGTCCTTTCCCTTGCTGTCCTTCCCCTTCCCATCCTGCAAAACAAACTCACTGCACCCTGTGTAGCGACTTGCGGTTAGAGGAGAGTCCTCCGCCCATTCCGCTTTGTGGTAGCTTTCCTTGCCGTTCCACGACGAGTACCCTGCGGTCCGGCTGCACATCCAAGCATCTCAGTCCACAACTTGTCGCCGAGGCTGTGACACTTTCCGTCCTTTCCGTCCTTACCACCTTTCCCATCTCGGCCATCTTTGCCACCCTTGGCGCCCAGAACACCAGAATGCCACCAAGAATTCTGCAGCACGCCAGGAGCAAGCTGCCGGCTTTCCAGTTGCCCTTCTCGTTCGATTCATCCGCGAGCTTGTGCAAGAAGTTGCAGTCCTCACCCCGCTGGCCACTGGATGATCCAAGCACTGGCCAAAATTATTGAAATAGAGGCGACAAGTGGGTTTGCGCTAGGCCGACACCTTGCGCTCGCATTTCTCACCCTCGAGAAACTTGCGGCAGTACCTGATCGGAAGCTCCAGTGCTTGAGAAGTCATGCCCTTTTCTCTTGTCGGGCACTTGGTGGTGCCGAAGTTTGCCCGAAGCGTGTGCCCATCGACGGCAAATCCATCTACAGCCTGGAAGAGTTTGGCCTATGCGGAACACGCCTCCGGAGACGCATGCAGGACTCCACCCGCGGGCCTGTATTGCAACAGATGCCTCCTCTGGTTTCTCGAATGTCAGGTACCTGCAAATTAACACGAGGAGACTGCTCATGTTAACGGGTGCAGAATTGCTGGCATGTGTTTGAACTGTTCTTTCGGCTTTTGCTCTCCGCAAGAAAACCTCTATTGCCTCGTGTTTGTGATAAGAAAAGTTTGAACAAATTGTATTTTTCAAACGTCACATGTTCTTTATACTTTAATGGGAAAATAATGATGGTCTTGATGGTACGATGTTGCTTGAAGCAAACCTGCATACGCGGCATGAGAAAAGCGGATGGGTTTCGAAGATCTGACACCTCGTTTCAACAGCTCAGGTTAGCAAGTTTGGAATATGTTCTTGAACGCAAGACTGCACAGTTTAAGAAAGAGCTAGGGGGTTGAGGGGGGGGCGCGGCCCCCAATGTTTGCAAACACAACGTCTCTATCACGTCTGAAAGGGTCCAGATGGGTTCTGTTTTTGTTGGCGAAATGTTTTTTGAAGCGGGCTTGCGCGGCGCAAAACAGCGGGCATGGCTCAAGACGTAGTAGTAGTAGTAGTAGTA